TCGACCAGTAAATCTTTTTATTGTCTGGCCGAAGTGTCTTTTATTTGAAGAACGAAGTGATTGTGTATGTGTAAAAGGTATATTTTGTTTTTACTTCTTGTACATACAGTACTGGTCATGAAAATCACGGTGGTAAGAGGTTTGTGACTAATCATACTTTAGGTACACCAAATGTCTTTACTAGTAATATCAGGCAATGGAACCATGGGGTTAATGTCTGGTAATAATGTCTGATAATACACCTGATGGATCTCACCAGCCCCGAATAGCATCCATATATTGAAAAAGTAGAGGTTAGAAAATCTCTCTCTCTCTCGTTTTTGGAATTTTCTTTCTTGCTGGAAAGAAGGCTGTCGATGCCACACAAGTAATCTTAAGATAGATTCGACATAAAACCTCAACCGAAGTCTTTGAAGGCTCTATTATAACACTTCTCAGCGTAGCAGCTCCTGTAGTTTGGGTGGTTGTGCGCCTGTTCGATTGTGAACAGCTTCTCATCCGTGAAGTGGATGTGCTCCCATCTCTGACAAGTGGCCTGATGTTTGAATTGGCGACATTCTCCAGTGTTCGCGCTTGTTCTCATGTGAGGAGCTGAACCTTCTGGAGGTTGTACGCCTTGAGGTTGAGTTTCTTTTTCGGTATTCGATATATGGACGACTTGCTTATACCGGTCTCATGGACGATTTTTCCCACGGACACTCGAATTTTGTTGAAGTCATTTTTGGTGATCTTATGGTTGGCGGCATTGTTGGCGGTGCGCTTTCTTCCTCTTCCTGTACGGTCGCCTTCATGGCCAAGCTCATAGAAGCGACGGATGGCCTTGGACACAGTTTGTTGAGGCACTTTGAGCAGTCGAGTAATTTCACATTAACGCTTTACTTGACAAAACAGCTCAATAATTGCACTACATTTGTTTAACATTCTAAAAACACGACAAAATAAGTCATCACAAATTCGAAACTTAACATAATAGTACATAAAAACATGGAGAATCTGACAAAATATAATTTAATATAATACGGTTCAATACTTTCGTGTTTGGATAAATTAAACATAAACTCTGTTATTTTGGGATACTCTTGTATTGCAAAGAACTCTTCCTAGTAAACTTTGAAATGAACCAGGCGATAAGGAAGATGGGTGTCTTTATTATATAAAACGAGCACGAGCTTTCGGGTAAAAACCCTTCTACAGGCGGCTATCACATAGCAAGATGGATACCAATGGCAAGAGTTTTTCAAATATATATTATATATAGTATAGGTAATTTGTATAAACAGCATGAAAAGAAAGAAGATGCAAAATAGACAAAAATTAAATAAATATATATGGAGAAAAGGCTCGAGATAACACAGAAACTATGTGATATGGCTATATAGGCTATGTGATAGTCGCCTGTAAAAGGGTTTTTACCCGAAAGCTCGTGCTCGTTTTATATAAAAAGACACCCATCTTCCTTATCGCCTGGTTCATAAAAAAATACTCTGTATTGTTACACCAGCCTGGGATATAGAGTGGTGCTCATGTTGCCATAGAAGACCGGGTTCTCATTCAAAAAGGAGGTTTATTAGCAAGTTAACTCTGGAACAACAGCGATTGAAGTGTGTAATATGAAAATAGTCACGTTATTCCATGAATAATGTGACAATAAAGGTCGCCTTTCCCGTAAAAGGTCGTCTCCGAAAATTAGCGGACTGAGGTCGTTGACAAAGTCACAACACCAGCTTTGGCAAAATGAGAAGCGTCCACCTAGAGACCATGGTTTCAAACAAATGGCCCTCGTCAGTCTTAGAAGGACTTTATTTCATGAGATCTACAAGGGATCTAATGGAATCTTCACAATCTGCCAAAGAGGTGTTTAGCTGGTAGAGTGGCTAGGCCAAATCTATGGCTGAAATATAGACGGAAATTTTGACAAAGGTCATCTCTCTCGTCGAAATAAATGTCAAAACTAGACACCATCTTTTTATCGTCGCCACAAACTAGCGGCCTCGAGTAGGTGACAAAACTACAATACCAGCTTTGGAAAACTGAGAAGCGTCCACCTGGGGACCATGGTTTTGGGATAATGGCCCTATTCAGCCCAGGGCGAACTTTATTACACGAGATCCACATGGGATCTAATGGAATCTTCAAACTCCAACAAAGAGGAAGTCAGGTGGCAAAGTGGCCAAACTATATGGCGTTGAGTTTTGACGTTTATTTTGACGGGAGAGGTGCCCTTCTCTTTTATAGATCAATATCTTCCAGGGAAAATTTAAATCTATAAATTAATATATTTATTAACTTTTGGTAGTCTTTGGCTTATAATTCCAAGGAAGTTTTATATAGGACCCAGAATATTCGTATTTCTAAGTCGTCTAAGGTCTTTAATATTCGCCGTAAAAATCAATTCGCAACTCCAAAAAATAGTTCCTTCTAGTGTTTTTTTTCCCGACATCGTGCAACACATAAGATTTGAAAAGAAATATAGAAATTGGTTCATTCCCGGCCACTCTGACCACCCAGAAATCTTAAAATTTCTAAATGTTCTGGAAGCGCATATTAAAATTTCAAAATTTGAAAGGCAATTTGGAAAATTGTCTGTTCCGGCCACCCTGACAACCCAGAAGTCTGAAAATTTGTCAACTTACATTGTCATCAGGTTCTAAAAAGTGTACAAAATTTCAGATTTCTACGTGCTCTGGAAGTTTATGGAAATTGGATTAAATGATTTATGTACAGACAAACATAGAAGCAAGTTAAATACAAATTTTAAAGTATATCTGGTGTAAGTTGTTTTAATTTATTCTTTAGATTTTATCTATATAAACGATAGAAAAAGGTCATCTCATTATTGTGCAACGATTCTATTTTTATTCTATTTATATTATATTTCTAATTTAATCAACTATTCATTGATTTTTTAAATATTCCAGAATTGACCAAATACCCATTCTTGATTAAACAAGAAAAGCTAACCACGTACGTGTTTTTGCACGATAAAGAAATGCCTTTTTTCTTTTTATAATTTATGAACCTTAATCCCAGTACAATATCACATTTGTACTATTTTTTTCCACATTAAATAAATGCTAATTATACACTGCGTGACATTGAAAATGGAACACCAAGAAATAGTGGCCAGAAAGTGATGAAACTCGGCAGACAGAGAGAGACAGGGACGAACAATAAGTGATCTTTATTTCAAAATGATAGTCATAATACAGAGCGAGAACGGCGTCGGCTTAGTAGCAAGTAGGACCACCGCGGACGGCGATGCACGCAGCAACACGTCTAGGTAGAGAGTCAATCAGAGTACGGATGGCGTCCTGAGGGATGGCTCTCCATTCCCTCTCAACCATTTGCCACAGTTCGTCTTCTGAACGCGGCTGTGACAAGGCATGCAAACGGCGTCCAATGATGTCCCAGACGTGCTCGATTGGTGAGAGATCAGGAGAGTACGGTGGCCAGGGAAGCATCTGTACATCTTGCAGAGCTTGTTGGCTAATGCGAGCAGTGTGCGGTCGGGCGTTATCCTGCTGATAAAGGGCATTGGGTACCCCCTGAAGGTAGGGGAGTGTCACCGGTCGCAGCACATCATCAACGTATCGTTGGGCCGTCATAGTGCCCTGAATACGAAGTAAAGGTGACCTGGAATCATACGCGATTGCGCCCCAAACCATGATTCCACGTTGTCGCACGGTGGGGCGTTCCACAATTGCTGCCGGATTGGACCTTTCTCCACGTCGACGCCACACGCGTACACGGCGACTATCACTGGACAAGCAGAAACGCGACTCATCTGAGAACACGACCCTGTGCCATTCCGTCATCCACGTCGATCTAGCCCGGCACCATTCCAAACGTTGGCGCCTATTCGGTGGGGTCAATGGCAGTCTTCTTAGCGGACGGCATGAGTGCAAGCAATTAGCAACCAATCGACGGGTAATGGTTCTGGTCGAGATGGAATGATCTAGGGTGTCTTGCACATGTTGCAGGATGGCGGTACAAGTGGCTTGTGGGGCCGCCACTGCTTGTCGAAGGATACGCCGATTCACACGTGCTGACGTCACTCTGGTTGCACCGACATTCCTATAAATTGCCACATTTCCTTGTTCCAACCATCTTCTCCACAGTCGGTGCACCGTGGACGCACCAAGGTGTGTATCAGCTGCGATTTGACGTATGGACCAACCTGCCCTTTTCAGTCCGATCACCATGCCCCTCGTAAAAGCGTCTGTCTGCTTGAACTGCCTCCGTTTACGATGACCTGGCATTCTCTGTTATTACACGTGTCTTTTGACACAAGAACAAAATTTCTACAATGATTTTCCTTGAAGAAATAATGACACGAATACTGTCCTTTCTGCAAGTTCCTTCCCTTATATCTTACTTCATGTGCGCACGAGAGCTGCGCATTTTACATCATTTGCATAACTCGGTTAGGCACGTCTACCCTGAAATTTGCATAATTTTCTGGCCACTATTTCTTGGTGTTCCATTTTCAATGTCACGCAGTGTATATCAATGTTGATATTTTGTGTGATGATTGTAATATAATATAAATGCTTCAAATAGATTTGACCATTGACCAATATTATTATTATTATTATATATATATTTTTTACATATGTAAAATAAGGGGTGAGTCCGCGACATTTGGCCCAATCTGAGACTAGCCTCTCATTAGTCGTGATGTCACGGTGATGCCCGATGTAAACAAAGGCTATGATTGGTTCGTTCTACGCGTCACTGCCTCGACCAATATAGATATTTTTCAAACAAAATTTAATTATTAATATTTTAAATACCTGTGATTACTTTCGGTTCCAAAATCACTTCATTAGATACCGCTCAACAAAAGAACAACCTAGTTTATGATAATTGAAACAATGAATAATATGTGAAGGTTATTCACATATTAAACAAAATGTTAACGTAGGATTCAGTCCCAGTTCATGGCTGTCGGGAATCGAGGGTGTTACTCACTCGTCCACCAACTTGTTTTCGAAGGTAATAGCCTACAGTTACACCCTGTGTTCCCAGGTGGTCACCCTCCCAAGTACTGACCGGACCCGACATTGCTTAACTTCGGTGATCGGACGAGAACCTGTGTTTTCAATGTGGTATGGCCGTAAGCTGTGATTACTTTATATTGATATAAATTATATTACTATATATTTATTTTGTCTAAATGGCCTTCTATTTCAAATTAGAAATTTTTATATATATTATTCAAATAAAAATAATAAACATATTACAATGATCATCTAAATACCCTCGACATGTATAAGTGTACACATGCACTCAAGGAACTAGCAGAAAGAACAGAACCCAATTAGATGTTGGCTTCAGACGTCCTGATTACTTTCCTGATAAGCTCCCGACGTGTAATTCTCAACCATTAACTGCTCTCAACTTTATCAGAAAAGTGATCAGAGCACAATTTCTTGCTTTCATTTTTCTTGTGGATTTTGCCATTAACAATGGGGGTCAAAACAGACAAAATATTTGGTTTGGTGACCAACTAGCTGAGTCAGCCGGTAGTTCTTTTACTGATTTTTATTTATAGACGAAAAACATTTTAACAATTTTTAACGACGTGCCAAGTGCTTCATTTTTATTTACTTCTCCTGACGAAGACAAACGATGTCGAAATGTTGAGAAAAAAAAAAAAAAACTCTATTTGACCGAAGTATCTATTTTTCATAAAAATACAACAGTTATCGTCCTAAATATATTTCAAGAATGAGAACAGGACATTTTGAAGGAATGAAGATAAACCCAGACATGACTAGATCCTACAGGAAGTGTAAAAACTGTTACAACACCCAACTCACTCCGGACCATATATACCCGGCCATCCTTGCAGCCCTCTATATGGCAGACATCAATCTAGAAGAGGACTTCCATACGGAAAAGGCACCTCGGTTGGTCGGTATTGTGATCAGGATGCATGGACTGATCTGATCTGCTTCATGGACAAGACACCCCCCATCACCATAAATCCTTATATCTATTCTATCTGTAAAAAAAATCCAAAATCGATGTTTGTTATCGCGTTGCGCAAAATCTACAGAATCATCATTATGAAATTTCGCATGTAGGTAGCTGAATATTTCGTTTAACATGTAGGCTATTCAAAAAACTAAAAAGGTTAATGTGCTTTTTAAAAAAAATGTAAAACCAAAAAGCGTTAGTTCCAGCCTTTTACCGCTTGGCGCCGCACTGGTCGCGACGATAAATGAATTTGATTGGTTAATAATTTTACACGTAGTTTGTTTACACGGTAAATTTTTTTAAAAGGTAAGATTGTATATATTGTAACGTTTTTGTGATAAATGTTAAAAATGTTGTAATGTTAAAATATATTTTTATTTACAAATGTTATTACAAATGTATATACATATACATTATTAAAAATGTATATCCATACTATATGTATACAGTTATTTACAAATGTTCGTTTTTGGCAAGATGTTATGTAAATTTATTTCAATAATCTTGTATGTAAATTTTTGGCGTGAAAGGTCAATAAAGTTTATGGAGAAAAACAGCAATTATTTTTGTTAGCGCTAATACCCGTTGACACAAGAAATATCTGTGACAATATTGTATGAAACATACCACATCAATCTTTCACTGCATGTTCTCGTAATTTGCATAGTTATGGCCAACCATTCTATCTACATACTTAGGAGGACTGGAGTTTCCCATATCTGGAACATGTCTTACATTCAATATTTCATATTGAAGTGAATTTATTAAAGGAGAATTGTTGAATGCAATTATGCAAGTTTTTAAAACTGATTATACAAATGTCTCCCATCTTTCTGAAATAAAATTTGAAATGATTTGAAAATGTCTTTACTAAGGCTAAATATTTGGTGGTAAAACATATCTCCCTACGTTGCTGATTGTTGGCAGTTGTACAATTTAATCCTTAGTTTTGACTATGTTAATTTAATTTTAGGTTAGCACAACCTAATCCCTATATATATATAAAAGTCAGTGTATGTATGTATGTATGTATGTATGTATGTATGTGGGTATCTATGTCGGCTATACACGTCCACAATACGTAACTAATCTGACTGAAATTTTAACAGTATATAGAGTAGAATCTGGAAAAACTTATAGTGAAAATTCCAGGTCTCTATCCCGAATATTCTTCGAGTTATTTGCAAATTGCGTTGCAAATTTGCCTTTTCGCTCGCAAGCAGCGCCTCTAGCGGTGAAGATGGGAGGTAATATCAGCTGACCTAATGTACATGTAAAACGTGTTTTGACAGGACATAGAGAAAAATCTGGAAAATATATTTATCGGAATTTTAGCCAATAAAAATAAAATTGACAGGTTCTCGGCAAAAATAGTTGTTTTTTTTTTAGTCAGAAAATGATGATGACAATATTGCTGTATCATGTTTGATTATCAGATACAAAATTATATCGGGAAAAATATTCCAAAAAGCTGAGACCACGGGTGAAGCCAGTTCATTTTTAGTGTGCAGGAACAAAATTCTAACAGAAAAACATTCATTCGAGCAGAAGACACAAAGCCAGATCATCTCTTTATAAAAATATCGCTTCTCTGACACAAAGTTTGGAGCGGGACGTTTCACAAGAGTGACATCTACGGCGCCAATTTATAATTGTAACGAATAGTATTTGAATAAAAACATTTAATCGGGTAAAACCTGGGCGTTGCCCGGGTCATTCGGCTAGTGAGAGAGAGAGAGAGAAGCCATAAAACATAACTGCAAATATTCAAATTGCACTTAAAAATGAGTAGAAACCAATTTAGTGCTTCTCACTTAACAAGGAAGTGGATACTAAGCATATTGTAACAAAGTATCCATTAATTTTATTATTTTTATTAACAGAGTGGTCATTTTTATGTTTATATCTTGCTTCTCTGTAAATTTCCCTCGTGGCTTATCTTTTGTTTACCATTCTTAGTTTGTTCTTGCCTTGAATAAATTGCTGTCATACTGAAGTTTTTGTCTTCCCTAATTTTCCACTGGCAATATTATAAACCAGCAGGTTCTTCTTCTATACTTAGGAGGAATGTATCCAAATTCGCATATATCTACATTAAGTTTAAGTTAGAAGTGAGAAGGTAATATCACGTAATTATTTAGGTGTGTGTTTTATAAAGCAGTCTTCTAAAGGTGTAAATATGCAAAATATGATAATCATTTGGTTTAAAAATTTGGATGAAGCAGGGAACTATGTACACTGTAACAAAACATTGCCTCCGACAGAAACGTATCGACACAATCTACATATTTATAATACAATATAAGGCGGTTTATGATTGTAGAACATTTTAAAATTATCCCTCATGTGTTTCTTTTGAACGAAAAATCGAAATTTATTTTAAGGAGAAATAATGATTATTTCTAACCTTAAGGATGAAGTATGAAAGGATGAATTGTGAAGAGTAAGGATAAACAGAAAAAAGTGTCCAGGGATGGGAATCGAACCCACAGTGTTCCGCTTACCGGGCAGATGCCATGTCCACTATGCTAACCTGGACTTACCCACTAAATATTCTACTTTATTTCTAACCCCGGTATATCCAAGGTAACTAAGGAACTAAAACCTGACCTTACCACCGCTTTGACGTTGTCATGGAGCTGTAATAAGAGAAATATTATCTACAAAAATAAATTCCGCGATTGAGAGATACTTTTAGACATCAAAATATATAAGAAAATAACTGGGGAATTGATTTATTAAATTTTTCTCGAATTGTTCATCGAGTATGCTCTTTATGGCGATTTTCCCTTCCCAAGAATGATTCGATATTCTTGTGCAAAGATTTAAATTAATAGATTGAACCTCTGTATAGAGAACTATTTCATAGTTTCTCGACATTACATGCACCTAGCCTTTGAATAATATTGATATTCTGTTTTCTCTGATACATCTTTTTAGTCAGGAAAAGACACATCTACAGTCAGAATAGTCCAAAAGAAATGCTCTAGGAAGCAGTAATATTTGCAATAATTTTGTCATATTCTCTTGTAGAAGGGTTTAAAATACCTGAGAGATAGAGAGATCGTTTAAATAAAGCAGGAAACTTGTATCCTCTGAAGCCGATTTTTAATATTAATAATTTTGAAGGGAAAATAGAAGTTTTATTGAGAGTCTATATTTCTCCTTCGGGAAAATATATTTCAATGTGTTAATACTGAAGCTCTGTCTACTAATTATAAGGATTCAAAATTATTTTTGATGCGAATGTGTCGGGAAAGGAATATGTTAATCTTCTGTATAGATTTGAAACTATGTAAATTTGAATTATTTTTTTGTTTTATGCAAATATTTATGTGTATATTTGTGTATTCACAGCTAAAAATAAAATCATCAGTTGTAATTCGCTCTCTGGACTTGTGCCCTTGCTTGGCCAATCATTGACAGATACCTGCCCTAGAGGAAACAACGGAATCTCTCAGTTTCTTTTTCTTCTTGGAGTAGCTCTTTCCCTACATAGGGATAGGTTGGTGTTCTCCTCCCGGGACCTGAAAAAGAGACTTAGGGCATCTGGGCAGAATAGAGACTGGGCGCTGCGTCGCTGAACGCGACAGTATGATTCTTTTTGAAATAAAACAAATTTCTATTGTCCTTTAAAAAAAAAGAGTCATACCCGTCAAAAACTAGTTTAGATTTCATATAACAGATGGCACCCTAATACATTATTTTATAAGAAATTTTCAATTATTTCTGTGCAAAGTTCATCTTTATATTGTACATAAAAAATATTTACCCGTTTAAGAGCGGAAAATTTGCTTGAAAGCTTGCGAAATCAAAATTAAAAGATAATTTTTATCTTAATACTGTGTGTTCTATTAATACTCATCTCATATTTCTTTCTTTATGTCATTGTAAAGCCTGTAGAAGAACGTCTGAAAGCTTGTGAATAAAGTTCTTGTAAGACACCCCTTTTCAATCGTTGTTATATTCTGCTTAATATCATTTATTCTTTATTTTTCAAATTTTATAAGGATGTTGATGAAAGGTAATTCTTGTTAGGTCGACTTTATGTGTTTCTGATCACCTTAGTGGATGTCCTTGTCGCAGCTTGAATCTGACATGAGAGCTGTCGCCAAGATAGAGTAGTGGCCCCGCCC